GGGGCGGGTCAAAGATCGCGGCCGGCGCCTCCGCGGAGGAGAGAGGCGTGGGAAGGGCACGCACTCGCCACTCAGCGGCCACTTGAGGCGGCGCTCCGCTGCACTCGCCGCCCGCACGGGGCGCTCTCCTCGGGATGGCCGAAACTACTCTCGTACCAGGGCGAGTCAATTCCTTGAAAATGACTCAGAGACTTAAATACGAGTGGGAAATGACCTAATTTTTCAAAAATATTCAAAAGTTTCGCATACAAATGTTTAATTATTCAATGAACTTTACAATTTAAAATCAAATTAATTTATATAAAATTATATTAAGTATAAAGTCTTTATTTTAGAAGGAAATGTAATCCTCAGCTGCAATCTTCCAACCGTCAGTTTTGAAAGGTCGAGGAAGTTACTGAAGATTCGTTTAATTTTGAAAGTTGGAAAAACAGAGTCCACAGCAGTAGTGACTTTCGTCATGAACTGGTGATACACTAAAAGCTTCGTTTTAGTGTATCATTGTAAATTCATGAAACATTCACGAACACACACAAATCAGAAACAAAATGCATAAAAATATCACCAATGACTGCAAAGTCCCAAAAAATGATCTAAAAATTAAAATGTCACAAAATGACAAAAAATTACCCAATGACTTTATATTTCTATCACCTATGTGTCGTGATAAATTATTATCTAAGTCCAGAGTGCACCAATGACAAGATCATCAAAATCGGAGCCCTGGTCATAACCTCAAACCTTTTGTTAGACGTCTTTTTATTTTCTTGATCGAGTTGTAACCATTAAAAAAAACTATAACCGAACATGGAAAAGAGAGAAATTAAGGCAAATATTCAGTAGGTGGCGTTTTTACAAGAGATTTCAATGTTGTTTCTTTAACTTAATAAAACGAACTCAGAATTTTTTAAAAATTTGTTTAATTTCGACTCTACTTTGGGACCTTTTTCAAATATTTATTGAGTTTGTTGAAATCACATCATAATCAAACAGCATTTTGATAACAAATTTGTTTTATGCCAGGGATTTTAGAATCTAGACTCTCTTCCAGGGAGGAGGAGAATTTAAAGTACCGTACTCAAACGAGGAAGAGGGGCATGGGCAAGGTAAAGTGTAAATGGTAATTTCACATTCTTTGCGGCACTGCGCACTGGAGCACATTTCTAACAATACTGTTGAACCGTTCATTAACCGCATTGGAGTTCTGTAAACAACTGCTTTGTACAAGCCGTAGTTATTGTGTAATGAAGCATTTTTGTGCGCAGTGAACCGCTAAATGCACCTGGGAGGTGATGGCTCTAACGTGAATCATATCATTTCAGCGTACACTTGTAAGAAATCTCTCCATGTCAGCGACGTCTCCGCCTACTCATGTTCCTATGCACTGCGCATCTCTCGATAATTTACTCAAGGAGCAGTGGAGTTTTGTTTTCCTCTACACAGCAGAAACACATACCTTCGCGCATTTTCTGGCATTGCACTCAAAAACATTGACGAGGAGGAACTAAAAGGATAAGCGGAATTAAACGGAAGTCGAGTTGTATGCGTATTCATGGGAGACAATGAAGAGAAGGGTTCAGAGGAAATCGCGTAAAACACCTCACGCGTATTACTTCACCGATCAAGTAGTCAGAATTGTGAAGGTTCTGACGAAATACGTAACGGCGATGCGCCGTCGGTAGCACTTCTTGTTCTGCGCTGATGTTTCTAGTTGAAATCACGGTTTCGCTTTTGTGTTTTCTACGCATATCCATAGTGATTTAGGTATCCATTTTTCACTCATCAATAAGCAATAAGATGTCGTTTGATGAAATTATTAAAAGCGAAATTTTAAAATGGAGATATGAGTGAAATGGAATAAAATGCGATTCGCTATGTTGTAATTAATTACAAGACGGTAAAATTGAAAAAAAAATGTCGCAACAGGAAAATTTTCAGCTTTTAAATCGAGCGTGTTACCGACTTTGTGCTCATATAAACTCGTTTACCTTACCTGCCCAGAAGCTTGCATCTATGAAAAATTGCCTTTTCTGCTAGTGACGACAGTGACCACATAAAAATCAAAATAAAAAGACCTACAGTACAGAAATCGAGACTTAAAAAACAACATTCGATAGGACATTTGAAATTACCGTATTGATTTTAAAAAATCAGATATTCAAGAAGTGTACCTATATATAGCATGGCTCCGTCTGATGTGAGATGCCAAACTAACTTTTTTCATCTTTTGTCACGATTTCACATTGACAAACCCTAGAATTTGTCAGTCAATTGCGGTTTCCTCTTAGCCAGAAAATATACAACCAAACTTCAGTGAATAATGATATTTTTAATTCTCCTATCAGTAATGTGGTTCTAGGAGTATTTGTTGGTGATATCTCTCTTTTACTTTTCTCTTGCATTCATTGTGTATATCGTAGTTTCATTTAGAATTGAAACCGGACCAAATTAAGCTTTGGCGCGAATCCTAACGACTAATTTTGGGATGCACGCCAACCATTTAAAAAAAAAATTTAATATCTTATTTTCAATGCC